AACCATTTTTCAAATTTAAAATTTTATAATGAGAGATAAAAAGAGATTTTGAGATAATCCTAATAAGATTTTACATCAAAATTATATATCATGATAAAATTTGAAAGTGCATATTGCCTCTATAACTATGGATGCGTCCGTATGCCAACTGCACCCTTTAGTTATTCTAGTACTAACTCCTTGGTGGGCTCGTTCTCGATGCTCGAGTTTGGGAGTGGCTGCTCTTGGATAAAGAAGGCGTTGTTAATGGCTGTTTGTATGCCAACTGCACCCTTTAGTTATTCTAGTACTAACTCCTTGTTGGGCTCGTTCTCGATGCTCGAGTTTGGGAGAGGCTGCTCTTGGAGAACGAGCTCAAGTTTGGGAGAGGCTGCTCTTGGATAAAGAAGGCATTGTTAATGATGCATCCGTATGCCAACTGCACCCTTTAGTTATTCTAGTACTAACTCCTTGGTGTGCTCGAGTTGCACCCTTTAGTTATTCTAATACTAACTCATTGGTGGGTTAGTTATTCTAGTGCTAACTCCTTGGCTGTCTGTATGCCAACTGCACCCTTTAGTTATTTCAGTACTAACTCCTTGGTGGGCGGGTTAGTTATTCTAATACTAACTCCTTGGCTATTTGTATGCAAACTGCACCCTTTAGTTATTCTAGTACTAACTCCTTGGTGGGCTTGTTCTCGATGCTAGAGTTTGGGAAACGTTCTTGGAGAACGAACTCGAGTTTGGGAGAGGCTGCTCTTGGATAAAAAAAGTGTTGTTAATGATGCGTAGAACGAGCTCGAGTTTGGGAGAGGCTGCTCTTGGATAAATAAGGTGTTGTTAATGATGCGTAGAACGAGCTCGAGTTTGGGAGAGGCTGCTCTTGTATAAATAAGGCGCAACTGCGCCCTTTAGTTATTCTAGTACTAACTCCTCCTCCTGTAGTTATTCTAGTACTAACTCCTTGGTGGGCTTGAGTTGCACCCTTTAGTTATTCTAGTACTAACTCCTTGGTGGGTTAGTTATTCTAATACTAACTCCTTGGTGGGCTTGAGTTATGCGTCCGTATGCCAACTGCACCGTTTAGTTATTCTAGTACTAATGTGAGCTCGAGTTTGGGAGAGGCTGCTCTTAGATAGTTATTCTACAGGCTGAGTTTGGGATTGATGGGCTCGAGTTTGGGAGAGGCTGCTCTTGGATAGTTATTCTAGTACTAATGTGTCCGTATGCCAACTGCATCCTTTAGTTATTCTAGTACTAACTCCTCGGGGGCTCGAGTTTGGGAGAGGCTGAGTTTGGGATTGGTGGGCTCGAGTTTGGGAGAGGATAGTTATTCTAGTACTAACTCCTTGGTGGGCTCGAGTTTGGAGAGGATAGTTATTCCTAGTACTAACTCCTTGGTGGGCTCGAGTTATGCGTCCGT